CGTTGCGGAACTCGTGGGAGTTATGAAAAAGATTAATGACCACGTCTACCGAATCCATAAGCCACCTCGAGGAAAGCCTAGGGTCGTCCATTTTAATAGATTGGCTCCTTATGCTGGAAATCACGACCAAGTTCGCGCCCTCAGACCACCAGAGGATGAAATGACGTTCCAGCAATGCATGTCCTTATATTTGGTGATGACCCTGATAGTGTAGCAGCCAGATGCAAGTTTATTGTTGAGATGTTTTACGTGTTCATCAAACTTCAGGATATTATCAATCCATAAAATCCCAAGAATTTGGTGTACGTCTTATTTTCGATGACATGCTTCTGTAGGCTTAGGTTTCGCGAAACAAATTTAAACGAAATTATGTTAGTTTTATTCACATTGAAACAAAGAATTGGAACCACACCAAGATTTGACTTTCTCTAAATTAGTTTCAATTATATTTCTCAGAGCGTCTGTATTATTTCCATGCCATAGTAAAGTTGTATCGTCTGCAAACATTGTAAACTTTCCGTGTATGTCGATATTAGATAGGTCATTCACATAGATAAAGAACAAAATGGGACCGATAATCCTTGGAGGACTCCACAGGAGATTTTCGAAAGACTAGAATTTTTCTTCTGCAGCTTTACCATTTGAATTCTATTTGAAAGATAAGATCGAAACCAATTAAGGGTTGTTCCTTTGATCCCATAAAGGAACAATTTTTCCAACAGCACTCTGTGATCAACGCAATCGAAGGCTTTAGAAAAGTCGCAGAATATTGCCGCAGCCACTTCACCTTTATTGAGCCCTACATGTAACTCTTCTAGGAAGACAAAGATAGCATCATTTGTACTTTTGGATCTTTGAAAACCAAACTGTGAGCTACTCAGTATATTGTACGTCTCCAGAAATTTTAGCAACCTTTTTTTTTACAAGCTTCTCTATCACTTTTGACAAAGTAGATATTAGTGAAATAGGACGAGAATTGGATGGCTCATTCAGTTCACCACCCTTGTGAATTGGAATCACTATAGCAGTTTTCAGTACATTTTTAAATACACTCATTGAAAATGATACATTAATTGATTCTGCCAGGGCAAAAAGGGCATGATCTGGCAGTTTTTCTAATAAATTTACTGATTGTTTTACCTAATTGTTTACTCAAGTTCTTCAATATTTGTATGATCTAAAATGAATTCTTCTGAAATGATTACGTTACTCAGGTAGTCTGAAGGTTTTTTTTTGTATAGAAATGTTGAGTTTAAGTTTTTCTGCAATTATACAGTAATACACATTGAGGCTATCAGGGTTGATGTCAATTTGCACTGGAAGCTTGTTTGTTTTACCTCTCAGATCATTGAAAATATCCCAGTTCTCTTTAGGTTTATTGGACGCTTTGGAAAGTCTCTCATTACAATATTTATCTTTTGCACATCTTATAATTCTTCTATAGATCTTTTGGTACTCATTGAAAAAGCTCTGGAAGAAATCACTTGTAGTGTATTTCCTAATCACGTGAGGGCCCTCATTTTACTTGAAGAGGTTCTGGAGTAGTAGAAAGCCAAAAACTTTCTTTCCTAAAAATTAATCACTCCTAAAAATATAACCCTTTCAATTTAAAGAAGAAAGTCGTAAATGAAATTTAAAAAAATGTTTCTCAAAAGATAAACCCTACTTAAATATGAATGAAACGTTATTTCTAATCTAGTCTAATTTTTCATCAAAGAATTCATCTTACAGCCGTTTTGAAATGTAGATGTACAAACATGTAGGTACTGAAAAGTACAAAATATTTGCATATAATTGACTCAATGGTCAGAGTACTTTTGGTTTAGATATTTTTAACAGTAATGAAATAAAAAAAGGAGAATTGTCGGTTTCCACGAACTGAGCTAAGGACTAACGAGGTCTTACCTTTTAACGTGTGATTCCTAACACGGGTTGGACGATAGCAAGTGAAAATCGATCGTTCAGACTGGAGCTTGAACCACCGACCAACACGGCAGTCAATTCGAGTGAGTGAACAAAGCACCCACGTCGAACTGCCTGGCTTGAACTTTTCACTATACTGCTTTCTGACTCGAGAACTATCGTAGGACAAATTTAAAATAATGTAAACATCGCAAGTTTGACCCAAACCACCGGCACCTGTTGTCGATAGTCAAAATCTGAAAGGTTTGTACTCACTTCATGATGACCACAAGACGTTCCTATGACTTGCTATTTCTTCTCAAGCATTTTCAATTTTCTTGCTGTACTATATAAGACCTTGGAATCTCCAGTTTTTGCGAAACTGTTGCTTGCTGCCAAGTTTTTACTTCCTGAATAACCACATTTTTTGAGCTGTGGTATCTTAGCAAGTCGTGGCATTCCTGCCGTATACTTCGGAGGGAATGTCACGACTTGAAAATACTTCTCTAATTGCTGCAATAATAGCTTGCAAGATTGCTGCAATAATGGCTTACAAGGTTTTCATTTCAAGCGCAAGGACTTCTAGCCACATTGTATAATAATAGATTATGACTAAAAAGGAGCATTTGCCATATTCCAGAATAACGCTTGCTATCTTTTCGAATGATAAATTTGGAAACTTTCTTAGTATCATTGGCTCCTTGATATTGCCTTGCAAGTACTTTTCACAAATCTCTTTGTCGGTGTCCTCTATATCACCATCAAGTCCTGACCAGCATAATATCTGCTTTGCTCTTTTTTGTGTTTTTGTTTTAGCATCTTACCAAGAAGTGATTTTAGCACAATGACTATCATTGTGAAAGACCAGACCATTAAAGACATATGTCATTACGAATTTGAAAATATGTTTTTACCTCAAAAGGCGCTTTTAATATTTCCGAAGGACAGCCATTGGTACAATATGACAAAACTTTTCCTTTCCAAGTATCTGGTCTTGTGAAGACTCGGTGTTGAATTTTTTTTCTCCATATTAATAGAATGAATCACCTCAATAATCAGCTGATCATCTTTTTCAATTTCATTTAGGTAATTTCTCGACAAAAGATCAGCCATGTACATCTCTTTAGCTGGTTTATAACGCATAATAAGGTTGTACTTCAAAAGCCTAACCTGTCTCCATCAAAGCCTCGAGAGGTCTGTGATCTGAGTGATTCGTGACTTTCCTACCATAGATGAAACCACAAAATACCTGTAAATTCAGTTTCAATCTAGCTAAACTGAGACTCAGAATCAGTTTCACGAAATTGTAAAGGAATTCTGTGAATGATATCTGATTCGATTCCATTACGAATGTTTGGCATACAAACGGAATAGAGAAAATTGTTTTTCATATAATTCAGCGTTCATATAAAAGCATTTGTTTTAAAAGTATTTTTCTTCCATACAATTCAATGTTTATTTGAAAATAGCTTATTTTGAGAGAGCTTTTTCTTCGAGTTTTTGTATGAAACTTACTTATTTGCATGATCTACACATCTCTGTTTATAGTTAATTTTTGAAATTGATTGCTCCCTTCCTTTCCTTGCAAGACTCCCACATTTTTTGTATCAAGATGGAGAAGTATACTTTTCGTATATCATCTTCCTCACTTTTTTAGAGCAGATGATTTTGTGTTAAATTCTTTACTTTTATTGCTTTTTTTTATTGCCACAGGTTGTAAATTTCTTCTTTCTGTTTCTTCTTTCTGCTTATAATCACACTGTGATAATGAATTCATTTGAGGTAAGAAATTCCAAGATTTTATAAAAAACTGATCACTTTTTGGGATTTGGCGTTAATTCAGTTAGTTTTTACTGAGTGGTGAAACATTTCGTAAGATTCGGAAGTATTCAATGATCTTTTTACTGTGTTTATTTGAGAAAAAAAACTGTCTTGATTGTAACATTACGAAAAATTCACTGAATACTTAAAAAAAAACGTGTAGCAACAGAATTCAATAGATAACTAGCTAGTGTGATAATTTCAAGTTTATATCATTTAAATTTTATATATTTACATTTACATTGATGTATATCTACATTTATACATGCATTAAAGTTAAATTAGTTTTTGGTAATGATCCATTAGTATTATTTTTCTCTCATGGGGATAACCGTATACATAAGTAAATAAACAATAGATTTTCTGAAATATTTTACAATTAGTAAAACTTTAATTGCCATTACTTTGTATATAGCCACGAATCAAATAAAATACTGAAATGTGGCACTTGTTAATAGCTTGGTATGTGATTTGTTTGAAAACTTATACAAAGGAAGAGTTAATTGAAATGTTGTATGCTTCCCGTGTTTATGCCGCAAAACATCCTCACAGACTGTATCCACAGGTGAAATATTTTGAATGATTAAAAGAAGAATTTAAGAAAACAGGCCATATTGAAAACAAAAAAGAGAGCCGTGCTTGAACTGTATTGACTGATGAAAACCATTTGGAAGAAAATTAGGTTGTCGGACAAAATGTTTTCGAAAGAAAATTGAACTTCGATTCCTCAGAGAACACATTCCTAGATTAATCGAAAACCTACCTTATCAAAGATGGAATATTGGTTTAGTAAGATAGGGCACCAACATTTTTTGGGGGAAGTACGAGAAGAGTTGGATGTAATGTTTCTTGACAAGTAGATTGAATGAGAAGGACCACTTTCTTAGCCGCCATGGTCGCCAGACCTAATATCAATGGAATTTCATTTATGTGAAACAGTTAAATTGAAGGTTTAGTGTACTGCCACTTTATTTCATTGTGAGCGGACTTCACATCCAACTTCTAGTAAAAAATCAAATACTTGCTAACATGAATTGTGGCTGAGCACAAATTTGATCAATCCATATGAAAAATTACTACACCCTGTACATATGTAACTGATTTTAAAATGTGGCCTTCCTGGTACCATATAACAATTATTTGAAACTTTTTTTTTTATCTGTTACCATTATCGACATATAGACCAAATATGTACTATAGGGACACTCTGGGTACTCTAATATATTTATTACCGATATATATTTTCTAAAAGGTGGAAAAAAAGCTGTTTCGCTTACCTTCAGTAGATTTTCAGAATATTTCTTCTTCAGTTCGCTATACAAAAAACAATATTCATCAATAGAAATTAGTGACAGTGGGTTTACTTTATTTGTTGGTACAAAGTTAGATTTGGACCATTTCAAAAGTTTTGGGAACAATTTGTCAGCTAACCAATCTGCATGAGTACTATCCGCATCTTCAAAATTGCTCAAGTTCATTCTAAAACTTGATGAATTCAATTCTAATTCATATGGAAAAGGTGGTGTTATACGAGATTCACCTGGTTCAGCCACAGAAATGAATACTGCAGAGTTTTTGTCTTTATCTAGTACCACTACTTCTAAGCACTTGTGGGCTATGTTAATCTTGGATAGCAGAATTCGTACGGAAATGAACACACCATCAGGTTCATCTATGAATGAAGCTTCATTTGATGGAGTTAATACCATATTTTTATCATAACACTGTAAAATGTTTGTGATAAATTCTTCAGATATCGCTGTTTTTGAAAAAATCTTCATTTGTCTCATTTCACTTAAAATTGCAGAGGTGGTGAATAATTCACTAACATGCTCAACAGATGAACTTTTGAAAAGCACCTTGTGAAATAGCGCTGGAGATGTAGCAGTTACTAATCGATTAATCAAGAATGGACGATTGTGAAACAGCATCACGATTTCCCAAAAAGTGGAACGTGGAATGCTGTCAGCGATGGTTAACGGAACAGGCAACATTCTTATTTGCTAGATTCCCCAAGATACTGTAAAAAATAAATGAAATTATTCTGAGTATGAGTTACATCGATAAAATGTTCAGAAATATTTACATTCTCAATTTTCATATCATATTTCAATATCAATGTATAGCTAGTGTTTTAGATTCTGATGAACTTATTATTGTTATCTACTCATTATAATCGTATAATTAAGAAACTAGAATCACATATCTTTCAAACCTTTTTCAAAATCCAGTCTGCATCCTCATATGCTCTCTTGATAATCTGAGTTATTCTCTCTTGGTCCTTTTCTTCAATGTGTTGCTTGAAACTCTAAAAAAAAAATATAAAATATGGTAGTTGAATATGATCATGTTTTATTCAATCTAAATGAATTCCATATCAATATCAGTTCGAAGTAACAAGTGACAGTGTTGAAATAGAAAAATTTGAATAATGCTTGTGAAACATTAAATAGACAATTCCAATATACATAAAATGATTGTTCAAAGAATTGAGATATTAAACATTAAATTTTATGCAGAGAAAATATACATATATATATCCACTTAACAAAGGTAAAACTGGAACCTCTGGCGTAGAATAAAACCAAGAACAAGCACTTTTCCCAATCACCAGAAATACAGCACTCTTTTCAATATATGAAACCTCAAAATTTCTGCAATTGAAGAATTTGGAATTATACACAGGGCAATAATTAAAAAAATAGGTTTGTTGGTTGTGGCTGTGGTTGTGGTACCATGTAGGTTTTTATACGTTTCACCTATGATTGTGGTAGACATTATATTAAAGGCAGTGAGGCAACATATGAAATGCTCTAGCTGTCCTCACAGCAGATACTCAAAGGCAGACAGGGTGGACAAAATGAAAGGTCATAGAAACCTGCAGGCCAAGGCTCTACTGAGTAACAGTAGTCACAACACTTGTTTAGCTAAATAAATAGCTAAATTTGTCAAATATTTTCAATACCATTGTTGTTTGAATGAGTAAAATTATATTATTCAACGAAATTATTGTAATTGTCACCAGTCACTAAAAATTATAACATTACACGTGTTATGCTTATTTTAAATTAAAGAACTGATATATTATAGGATAACCAAACAAAAACAAACTGTCCATTAACAGCAGACTAGTTTTTTTTGTCCTCTACGAACCTGCCTAACCATAAAAGGGTAATGTTCTCGAGGTCCCTTAGGTAGTCTCTGACATTGTCTAAGCAAATATTTGTAGAGAATTCTTGACTTATTCGCTGAATCGTAAGTTACTGTGAATTTTTCGTTTAAATTCCGCAACAACCTCATACTCATACCTTCTATAATGTCAAATTGAAAACATCTACCACAAAAGATATAAAATTTACTGTTCTATGCCATGGACTACATTCAATCGGACGCAAAAAAGAGTTGAAGTTACTGTTCGGTAATTAATTAAAGGTCAGGGGTCTGAGATTTCTCATACTTCAAATTTATATGCCATCGAAACTATTACTTTAGAATGTTTTTCAATAATTCAAGTTCAAAATGTCGAATTTGGCAGGGAAACATTTACGTCATTTTCATAATCAAGCAAATACGCTATTGTTTGAATATGATAAATGACATTTTTCAGCCAATAATTAGGCTAAAATTGGGTTCCTTAGTGCAACATATATCAAGATATATACATATCCACTTTTGCCAAACTCTAAAAATATTTTTTAGTTTTGAATATGGCAAAGGCACTCTCAGGTTACACAGACTTTCTGAATCTGTCGAAAATTCTAACGCTATAGTTTCTGCATAAAACAATTATGAGAGATATTCTGTGAAGCCTAAAATACTATCTCATAAGGGTTTGGAAATATAATATTATTTTCCATTTACATCTTTTAGGAAACTGTTTTCTACTATTGAATTTTTAAGTGTTTCATTGATGATTTTTGTAGTTTTACAGAACCTGAAAACACCAACAAGCATCAACAACTCCTTCTTTCGAAATGGAGATTCGTCAGAAAATTGTTTATTTTGATCAATGGGTAGTTCGAGAACAACCCAAGATGTTTCTGCGAACCAGTGACGGCTCGTGCATTGGAGAACAGGGCAAGCTTAAGTCATTTAGACTATATACACACAGAAAGGCCCACCGGAGGCGCGAAAATTTTTATGTTGTTGCACGTTTTGCTTAATACTAAAGTTAGGGCATGGGCATGACAATGCGTAAAAAGTGCATGAGGAGTTATGGACTTTATTTTAGTTTGTAAACCATTTAAATGGCCGGCCATGACTGCATTCCCATCATAGGTTTGCGCAATTAACTTTTGCCTAAAATTATAGCTTTCACATGTACGAATTAAAAAATTAAACAAATCGTCAGCTGTGCGCCCAGATGAAACATCATGAAAACCCATATCTATAAACGATTGAAAGTTGTGATGTACAGGTAATATCGGTAGTTTCATCATGCAAAAAAAGAAACACTTTCAATCTCCTTGCTTATATTTTCCTTGATAATATATGCCACACAGTCTATAATGAGCTCATTTTGGATGGTTTTTGAGGTGCCCGAAAAAACGCTACCGTTTAAAAAAGTGACAAATTGTGAATTATATTTGCCCAATAACAGGAGGTAAATTTTTTAAATCGGAGTATCCTATTTTAGACCATGTTTGGTATTCGGTTTGTACGGAAAATAAAAAACAGGGCCAATAAAAAAGTTTTTCTCGTTTAAAGGAGCCGGTTAACCAATCGCATTTATCGTACCAACTAAAATTAAATCCTCGATTTTGTCGATTATCTGACGACTTAAATGAAATCAAATTTGGTTGAGGCCTTCCCAGAGTTTTAATAATGTAAAATTTATTATCATAAGATAAAGACTTAAAATTATTTGTCAGCAACCAATCGACTATATCGTCAGATTTTTTAATTTCGTCCAACTTATCCATAATAAATGAAAAAAACAACTTACCAAAAAGTGAAAACCTGAAAACACCTTGAAATTGAAAGAAAACACTTTGAAAACACATTAAAAATATTACCAAAAAGCACTGCTATAATATAATACTGCCTGTTTTATACACAAATAACAAATATTACCAAATATTATTAAAATATTACACTAAAACGATTTACCGGAATACTTTTTAGCCCCGGTCCGTCACGGTATCCCGTCCGAATAATTAAATAAAAAACAAACGCAGTCGTACACTAACGGAGACCAACTGGAGGCTAGCCTCCTCTGGTGCTATAATTTCTGCAACTGAAATTACAAATCGGGCCGTATGTTGCTGGTTGGATCGGTCTCGTGGAGCCCTTTGTTTTTTAAAGCGGTCGGAGGCTTGGCTCCCTTGCAACGTATGGCATTTATTATTTCGGGTTGATAGTTTATTTATTATTCATTCATGGGCGGTGCGTTTGAGCTTTTTTGATGCAGGATACAGTGTGGTACGTACTACGTAGTGTTATTCTTGTAAATATCCGTTATGGTCATTGTGAAACGTACGTGATATATGTCAATATTGTCAATTGTCAAAGTTTGTCACACTGATTTTGGTTTGGTAAATTGACAGATTGGCCGATTGACGTGTACAAAAATGGATTAGGAAATTGAAACCGAAAATCTTCAATTAGTAAATTTATAACTCAACTAGGTTAGTAATCGGTTTTTCCTCTTGATCTGAATTAAGGTTCATCCAGTAAATATTATTATTTGAAAATGTACCCAGTTTCTTTATTTGACTACTTGTTACTAATCAGTTTTAGGTCTGTTTTTCCTGTGATCTATCATGGAGGAGGAACTACTCTCTTCTGGAAGCAAAAAAGGTTTCTTTTACCAATTTTGTGCCAGGATTTCACAGGTAAATACTCTATTAGAACCTGAAAGCTCAAGTACCCCATTTTGATACTTTTTTGTTTACCTTTTGTATGAAACTAGATTCATCAAAGTACTCTGGATAAATGGACACCACACAATCGTGCCCGATGGGTAGGCACGATAGTGCTCCTCTTTCTTTTTGGTCTACAAATCATCACCAAACAGGTATAAAAATAGTCTTATGTTTTAGTGGTACCAGGGAGTGGTGGACAGGACAGTACCTTGGCGAAAAGTTCGATGGTTGTCTGCAATCCTACTGGTCGTTGGTTTTTTGGTCAGAGTGCTTTTAGCACAGGTATAACAAATTATACGAAATTCACCTTTAAATCATGCTTTTGGGTTGATGGATATAAATTTCCTTTGGCAAAACAGTTTGATTTTGTGAAAGTTTTAGTTTTTTAATTCAGATTTTCCAAAACAAAAATATTTCTCTAACTTCATTATTCATCATACTATTCCATACTTAATATATCTGAAAGATTTGAAAATTATTTGTTGAAATCATCAAAGACAATGGAAACATTTTGGATGTAGTTGATGTTTTTAAGTTTGTTGCAATTCAGTATACCGTCTTTCTGTTAATAAAATAATGTTGAACTTTGTGATTACCTAACAGGTCGGAATTATGGAGAACTTTGGGGTTCATTTAACCTTTACTTGCTAAAAAAATGTTGGAATTTGAAAGGCTTTTCAGATCTGGAATTCATAATTTTGTATGATACAGATTGAAAAGGAAGTCAATAGTTTGGATCTTTGTTCTTTATAGAACAAAGATAATGAAACGTGCTTTGAACATATGGTGAATGTCTTTCATCATAGTTAAGATAAAAGATATAAAAATCAAAAGAGTTGTTCATTGGCCATTATTTTCAATTTTGATCAAAAATTATGTATAGATAATGTCAAAGATTTTCCCGATTTGTTGAGTCAAATAGACTTTGTGGTTCTTAGGCTCAATAGAAGGTATAATACCACATTCAAACTTTCAGTCTCTATAACAAACTCTTCTTGTTCAGTTGAATAATATAATGTGTTTCTGTTATTGATTAATAATGCATGACAACAGTTTTTGGATATTTTTGTAATACAGTTTTTGCAATCTTATTGTTACTACTGCATATCTTTTTTTTGTTTTTCACCAAATTTATGTGAGGTATCATTATTTTTATAAAATTTGCACAACTAATCCTATCATTGGTATTCTGTCATGTAGTTTATATACATATTACTGAATAATTATTGTTCTGTTCCATGGAAATTTATATTGCATCTTACAGGTTGTGGTTCCCTGCCTTTTCCACCACTTCAACATTTTTTATTATACAGGTTGGAACCTTTTCCAGTTCACATCATTGGTGTTTGGTAAAATGTAGGAGGATAAAAACAACTCGGTGATATGAAAAACCTGAAAGATTTTTGAAAACAATAGAGGAAATCATAATGATGAAGTTATAATTATTTTCATCAATCAAATGAAAGGGATAAATGACTATTTGATTTGTTATAGTTTATGTGGTAATTATAATTTTATCATAAATAAAACAGAGCTCATACATTCCCCTTCTTTGCTAGTTAAACAAGCCAATTGAAGCTGAAAAATAGTGTCACTGATCAGTGGTTGATTTTGAAATATTCGCCTAAAACTGTCAAATTTCGTTTTTTTGACTCCACCGTCTCTATTTCCAATGTAAAGAAAAGCAGTGAATCTCTCAATACTGTTCCATGTTTGTTATAATCTGATATAAACCAATTTGCAATGAGATTTTTTTCATACGAACCTGTTATGTGATACATAGATGAATTAATTATTACAGTAGCTACAAAAATCTATGGAAAAAAACTTCGAGGTACGTATTTAAAAATGAAGTTGATGATGAAATCTAATGAACAAAACGTCGTATTACAAATTGGTTTATATCAGATTATAACTAATATGAAACAGTATTGAAAGTTCATCTGCCTCTTTTTATATAATTTGAAATGGAAGTGGTGGAACCATAAAACGTGATTTGACAATTCTAGTTTTTGTCGAATATTTAAAAAACNTATAGTAATTTGAGGGAGGCCCCTAAGGTGCGTATGAGATACTAGTACTCTTTATGAGGTTAGAACCATAAAATAATAGATTTTTTTTGTTTTGTTACGTAGGTGGGAGTGATTTCAAATCTGAATATTGTTTTCAAATTTAAACCGCTTTTCTAAAAAAAACTTTTTTAATAATTTCGAAAATAAGGGTAGTTTACTCATGATCAACATTTCTATTTTTTGTTCTCCCCTGTACACCGTTCGGAAAATTAGAGTTTTGACAACTCAAATCCAAGTTTCCTGCAATGCACCATTTTTATCAACAATAAAATTTTCTGAAAAATGGATAATACAATAGTTTCCCATATGGTGCAAACTTTTTGAAGCTCAGTGTATATAAGATATTTAATACTGTGAAATATCAAATTGGTTTACTTCAAGTTACAGTATTTGATTTCACAACAATCATTATGTCATGTTTGAGTGATATCTTTAGAGTTGATAGAAATTAGTAAATTGGTTATAATAATCTCCTGATGATGTCAACTTCAGAGATAAAAGTTATCACTACAAATGGAATTTGCTGTCAGAAATGTTTATATATTTAGTCACATGTTTCATTACAAAAAGGAAATGTTTCATGCACATTGAATTATTTTGTTTCTAGCTGAAGACAATGGCCCTGAACTGCCAACAAGAGCAAATGAAGAATTTAGACCTTTCATTAGGAGGTTACCTGAATTTAAATTCTGGTATTCAGTTACTAAGAGTACAGTAATTGGAATTATCTGTACATTCTTCGAATGTTTCAATATACCAGTTTTCTGGCCAATTCTGGTGATGTACTTCATCACTTTGTTTTGTATCACAATGAAAAGGCAAATCAGGGTGAGTTCATTACATTGCTATTTGACAGAAAACATAAACATTAGAAACCAATAATTGAGAAAGTTGTTCAATTCTATCAGTAACAAAATTTACTGCTATTAACATACTAATATTTCAAGAGTTTTTCCACTCTTGGTAATGTTTCTGTTACTACTGCTTACTTGATTTTACTTTACAAATTCACTAAACATAATATAATATCTTCGCAAATTAAAGCGTTCTCTTTAGGTAAGTAGAAGATGACATCTTTTGAACAAATAAAATATCTACCAGATGCATTCTCGCCCATTTTAATTTGGGGAAAAGATATTATGTCACAAGTTTATGTCGAAACATTGACCATATTTGAATATATTTAATATCCATAAGTATATATTAGTATTTATTGATGTTGAAATTATAGTATGGAAACGCGAAAAAGTCCATACGTTTTTCATTTATGGTGAGCGTAGAAAAAAAAATTACATCAGTTGTTGATCAGCATTATTCTGGGAAGGTGCTAACTGACAAGACACTATTTGACAGGGCCAGGCGAAGATGATAATTTCATTTCATGTGTATGTGATTTCATTAGTTGAACTGATAATACTACCTTATAGTGAAACATGTAATGAATAACATTTATGGTGTGTAAATTGTATAATTATTATCATGGATAGTGTTTTGAATTTTCATCAAGTATCTGTTCATGGTATAACAGTATCATTACCTGACGTTTAGCTTTCAAATGCAGAGAGAACTCTTGAATCTTCATTTTGGTTTAAAGTTCTTTGTATTAAGAGATTTTGTTTCTGTCATTTGATGTATCTGGCGTTGAGTGTCGCTACTGGGATAGAATCATTTTTTGATTTTTTTTCACCTAGAAACTTGAAGAGTCTTCTGCGACCGTTGATACTATTTGATGTCTGATTATCTGGCCTCAGGAAAAAAAAAACACAATTTAATTCATGTTACCTCATTCCACCTAAGGTCAATATCGTCTTTTTTTATTTTTGTACCATTTCATATTTTATATTCTTTTTTGCCACAGTAGGTACATGATTTTTCATCATTTGATATCAATGTTTGCAGGGAAGTTTCTTGATGTTTTGTAGGATTAAAATTGAGTCAACTCGTCGTTTTTGAAACTTTTGTTTTTTATACATGAGATGCAACTATAGCGATTTGTTCAAGCAACTTGAAAAAATTTCGAAGGACAACCTGTCTCTTTTTTCTACGATTTGTTTGCTCCAATGTGACTGCAGAGCTTCTGGTAATTTTTCAGTAAGTTCTCTCAAAACTTTAGGATTTTTGAGGTGGCAGTTTTAATTCAAGGTAGAGTAGTGATAACAAAACTTCAATTATCATATCTGGTCTTTCAAAGTGTATCTGAAGTGTTTCTAAACCATATCTACATTTTCACATTCCTGCTGCAACATATTTAGCCTTCTCCTTGTATACATTTATTGAGCTTGAAAATGTTTTCCTCTCAGTATTGTCACTAAGCTTTATTACAGTGTGATAAGACTTCGCACGTAAAGATGTTTTGGTCAGTTACTTTAAAAATGTCGTTTGGTATAGAGAGCAGGGCAGAGGTAGTTCTATGCTATGTTGAGAACGAAAGTCAGATTTGAATGCTAGATATTATATTGTGATTACTTATAAAAACTCAAATCATTTGATATTTGAGAATCAATTCAAGTACCTTAGGTAAGATGCTAATAGGTCTGAGAACGGAGTAACTATATCACAACTGCATGTTTCCGTAGGGAAGGGAAGCTCAAATATGTAATACACAAATTTATTATAAAAGTGATATATTTCAAAAACTACACCTCACGATTTGATATCCATAAACTTTAATTGAAAAAATTAATCACAACATGTTTCGCTAGCACAGTAGCTTTTTCATTCATACACTTGAAAAAGCTACTGTGCTAGGGAAATATGTGGTGATTATATTTTTTCAAATAAATTTTGTGGAGATCAAATCGTGAGGTGTAGTTTTATGAAATTACTATGGATCTTCATCAGAAAAAAAAAGTGATATATGTCAGCAGTTGGTTTTTCTAGCATTCGGATCATATGAAGGAAGATATGGTTCGAACCTACAACATTACTTTTTACTCTATCTAGAAATTTCTGTACAGTTTGTTTATCAACGGGAAAGAATTTGAAGAAATGTTTGTTCTTTGAGTGATACTTTTCAAGAAGTAATAATTGATGTTTGGTTTAGTGGAGTTGTGATTTATTACAAAAAAAATTAATAATTTCATCAATATTTTTCAATGTTTGGGGGTGGTACCACGTTGGGTTTTTGACACAAAATATTTAGATTTCATAATGTGTTGCACATGAATTGAAGGTAAGCTTTTTTCTCCCTATGAATAGCAGATGTCGTGAAGTTCCTCAATTCTCTGTAATATTCCCATGCTGGCGAATATTGTTAGCCAAGAAGCAGGGAGTTTTACAGAAAGAAGTGTTGTGACCAACTAGTGCAATGTGTTTATTATTGAATGTAGTAATCATATCGTCAACAGTATTTAACCCGTGAATTTCATCCCAGCCTATGCATATCAGATCAGCTAAGAAGTAATCTTGATGAAACTCAGAAAAGTCACAATACGAAATCCACTTACAGTTATTATTATTACTTTTGTGAATTTGTGGGAAACAATCAGGAGATTAAGTAAGGTTTGACTTCGAGTGGTGGGAATGTAATCAACTGGGTGAAGTTGAAGGTAGAAAGAAATTGATAGAATTGTTTGAATCGGTTGAAAGATTGATATTCAAGTTACCCGTTATGAATGAGAAATTGTTTCTTCCAATTCTTTGAGGCATAATAAAATATTAACGCTGGGTGGACGATATCATATACCAAAGAAGATGTATTTTCCAGAAGAGTTTACTGAAGTTGAGTTGCTCCAGCTCTAGACTTATTTTGCTAAAAAAAAAACAATATGATCAAAATTACTTATTGATAACAATGGATTTATTAACATGAACTTGCCGGGTTGTGCGTTCTTCAGGTTCTTTATTTTCGTCTCCACTCTTAGTGGAGACGATTTTTTCTTCAATTTTGTTTTTCACTGAAAGCTTCCAATAACCTTTTATGGTCCTTTGATTTTTAAATTCCTCCATGGTTAGATCGTTGCTAATGTGCCCAATGCGAAAAATATTCCTGAACTGAGATTCCTTGATTTCGATATTGAGTTTATCTTGAAAATAATCAGTTATGATTTCGAAAATATTTTCTAATATATAGCGTTCTGGGTAGAATAAAGAGAACTTTCAGTGAAACACATATCTATTAATATTTTGGGAAGCAGAGAAAATAAAAATTGAAACAGTAATGTTTTTCATTGAGGATACTGCGGACACTAAAATCTTCGAAACTTAGAAGTAAATCTTCAAAATTTTTCATTTTCTTGAACAATCCCGACTGAATAAGACTTCTGATTAACTAGCCCTCAAATACTGATGGAGTTTTATAATTTCATTATGTAAGTTCAAGCATGTTGTCTTGAGTTAAGTGCCCTTCATCATTCGTATCACAAAAAAATATTATTTCAATAGTAGAGATCTTACTAGGGAATAATCATTTGGCCTGTCATGAATTTTAACCTTGGTGAGAGGCGTAGTTCCTAGGAAAACATAAACATGGGTTGACAGAAACTCGAAAGATGAACTGTGGTTTGAAGCTTTGATCTAGTTCTTAAGTGGGAAATTATTTTCTGTCTTCCAAATAAACAAGATATTCCTGAAATTTCATGAATTAATAATTTTTATCTTTGGAACTTTGTTTTTACCACAACATCTAGTAAACATATTATCTTATTTTTCAGCATATGATTAAATACCGTTACTTACCATTCACCCATGGGAAACCTAAGTATCAAGGACATGAAGAAACAACAGGAAAAGTTATCACCACCCCAAAGTGACAGAATAATGAAATAAAATGTAAAGGAGGCATAACCAAAAACATGTCAACTTTTGTACAGGAAAGGCGTGCTTACACTCGAAAAGGACAGTATAGAAATAGAATCTTTTCCACGAAAGAAACAAAATTATTGTTTTTTTGTTATTTGTATATTTTACTGTGAATATCTCTTCAGGTATTTTCTTTGTGAATTATTTTTAAGTATTACAAGCTAAATTGTTTGATGAAAAGTGTAATGAGTTGATGGGCGTTTATTTCTATTTCACTAATATTTTGTCTCTTCTGGTAAGAAATAAATTATTTACCACCCTGCTCTCACCTACCTAATGAGTGAAAATTTCAATGTACAAAGTTGCAGTCTCATAAATTATGTACCTAGCTAAGCTGTTTATTATAATACATTTCAAAATTATTTATGTTTTTGTTATATATTTTGTATTATTGAGTGTGTGAAAAAAAATTAGGACCACTTTTTTGGAAACAGCTGTTCAGAAGTTCATTTAGTTTCATTAATTCCTGAACAATTGGGGTATAAAAAGCAGACATGAAAAGTATAAAAAGCAGACATGAAAAACACAATCTCCATTGTTTCTTCTCCCAGAAAAGAAAAGCATTACATAATGGAATGGTTTAGGTTATGAAAGGTTTTATATAACCCCTAGTTATATTTATTTATGTAACCTTAAACAATAACAGTAAATTTTACATTTGAGACTTTTATTGTATGACTCAATCGACCATTGTGTGAGTTGGTGGTTTAAGCTGCAGGCTGAACGATCGATTTTTACTTGCTATCGTCCAACCCGTGTTAGGAATCACACGTTAAAAGGTATGACCTCGTTAGTCCTTAAATCGCACAAGTTTCGACTTCAGAGGGTTGTTGCTCGTAGGGGTGCGACAGCTGGTTAACTAAACATATTTTGAATATGTGTATGATTTTTGTAATTTTTCTTAGCACATATAGGTTGGAAATTATTTTTATTTTTAGTTGGAAAGGTTAACAAGCAGTTTTGCATAGATTTTTTTGTAAAAATGTTTCATATATTGATCAGTTAATAACAATAGTACATTGAATATTTATATATTTATATGCTTCTAAAAAAACGTTTTCAGAAAACAGCTGCGGGTAATGTCATTTTGTTTTATTTTAAGTGGTTCTTTTTACCAATCCCATTCTTCGGGAAGTATTAGAAATTCATTTTTGTACTCTTGAATGAATTCTTTTATTATGATATTTTGCCATATTCTCAGTCGTAAAAAAAATTGAGTTGTACAGAGTGGGCCAAATTTAACACTTTTGAATGGAAACTCCTATTTTCAAGCCAGAAAGATGAAAACTTATACATTTCTATGTTTAATGTATAAGTTTGAAAATGTCTTTATAGGACGAAACTGCAGTAACGTTAGTTACAAATGAAAGTGGTAAAAAACATAGAAAGTTTCAATTATCTTTTCTACATTATGCAATTTAGGCTCTATTGATATGTACAGGATTATACAGGATGTCTCAGCACACCATTGAATTCTACGTAAAAAAGTGCTTTGGAAATATTTTCATGGCGATGTATTGAATCAATTGGAGTCTCTGGAGACACCCTACATTTTGTTTTATGAGTGAGAGGACATTGGCAGATCAAGATCTTCAGATGATGTAGTGCTGCAAGTTTTTCCGGGTTTTCCTGCAGCTGAAAAAGCAAATGAAGTCGCCCCGGAACGCCAATTAATTTTTATTGTTGTTTTCATTTTTATCGTTTTTTTATAATTTCATAAATATATTTTTGCAACTTCTTTTCGTAGAAATTAAAAATTTTTGACAGGAAAAAGTTACAGCAACTTTTCAAAAATGCACATTTTCGAAAAACATGCCGTAACTCAGAAACAATGATAGATATCATATACGGTTTTCACCATTAAGTTTATTATAAAATTTGACTCTCAGAAACAACCATCAGTTTTCATCTATCTAGTTCAAAAAAAGGAGTTTCCCTTTGAAAGTGTCCAGTTTGGCCCATTCTGTACAGTGTTTTTAGAGATAAACCAAATTGACAATTCAATTCCGAATGCAAAGTAATGCTATGAAACATTAGTGTTCTAGTTCATTCAACTTTTTGGCACCATACGTTGTGAGAATACTAATACTGTTTTTAAAAAAATGTTCATTGTTCTTCAATCATGAAAATTTCAGCCACTGCATGTAACTTCTGAACATTATTGAAAATTTTAATGAAATTATTTTTCTTTTTTGTGAAAAGTGGTTATACTCACATGCATGAATGAAAAGGAGATAATTGCTAATACCATTTGGATAATTCATTAAAAGGTATTATTTTTTATGAATAAACTTGTAAGGCATTATGTTTGACTGGTTTGAAAACGCATTTCTTTATTGTCAAGTGCTAATTATATGAACCTTCACCTTGAAAAAATATTTAATTGAGAAAAATAATTAGGAAAATTACGATAACATTTTTTGCTGGCGGATTACTGTTGATTCTACTTTTCACCAAGCAATGGGTTGGGTTGAAATTACAAAAAAAATAACCCCCCCGAAACGGGTGCGCAAGCCGATCATCTCGTTTTTACTCAATTTTCACCGCTCGATTGAAATTAAAAATAATGATTGCGAGATCGATTATCAAATGTGAATATATGCAATAGTTTTTGGGATATCCACAAAAAACTGCGATAGAAATGTGTAACAGCGGAAAATAAATAAAACGATGTTTACTGTTCAAAAGTATGCTTTATTCTGTCTTCAAATATATTTTCTAGTCACTAGTTCAATTACTCAGGTTTACATAAAAAACCAAACACAAAGAAACAAAACGTGTGTCTGACTCAACCCTAAAATGACTGATTAACTGGAGTAGAATAAAATATATAGGATTTTCCATTGTTCTAAATAACAAAAATAGTGATAATAATGTTCACTGCCAGAATGAAGGTAGTATCTCGAAGTCTCAAGCCGTATTTTCATTGGCAGCAATCACAAACTACTTAGTGGTTTGTGGCAGCAATACAGCAGAGGCAATGAAATTTGACAGATTCCATTGCTGGCACAGCATTGCTATAAAGTTCGAAATTTTATGAGTAGAACTACTTTTGTTATATTGATATTGTGAATTTCGAAATGAAGGCTAAATCTGACCCGTTTTTACACTGAGAGCTTAATTGTTATATCCGATATTCGATAAGTTTGTTTTTGTGTTGAGATTTTTTTACAGTTAAACATATTAATGATTTGAAAACAAAGAATGAAGAATAGAGGAACGATCAGAAAGATATGAAAAGCTTGCATTATGTCTCGTAATTAACCATAAACTTGTCTGCGGCAATTTCCAAATATTTCCACATTTTATTGCAGCAAAAAGAATGACTGACTAAATTACGCTCTAACAATAAACAAATACTGTATTATAATAAAATAAAAAGGATATAAAACTATATAACAAATATTGTAAATAATTACATTAAAATAGAACACAACAATAAATCGCCTGGCAATTTGGAGTCAACAATATGGTGCCAACCTCATAATTCAAGACTGTCATTGAATAATTGAATATCTTGATGAGGGGGAATTTCAACCGATTGATTAGTGATATTGATCCAATTCAATTCAGCATCACTTTGCCAATTAATTCTCCAGAATATAATAATGAACCAAACTATGACGATGTAATGAATACTCGATAAAACCTTTTCATTACAGATGTTGATAAACAATAAATTCACAATCCAAGGGTATATCACATTTGATATTTTTATAGCGTTTAATTTGAAATACCTACCATCAAGATGGCGGATTGCTCAGACTGTGTTGGTGACTACTCCATCAAAAATGATGAATATTTCTTTAAATGCTGCAAAAACAAATCAAATACCAGTTATCTCGTGTGTATAAAGTGCCATAGTGATACCCATAGAAGTTGTTTAGCCCGTCAAAAGCACAAAACCATGATAGACAAAAACAAAATCATATGTAATGACTGCAAAAACGAAGAGAATCAGAAGACGTCAACACAAAGTGAGTGCGTAATAGGTATATGAGCAAATAATTGAAGAATTGAAATCAGCTAACATTCAAAAAGATGAACATATAAACAAATTAAACAGAAAATATGAGGCATATTACAATGAATCACTAGAAATGGAAAATAATTTAAATATCATCATACAAACCCATGAAAAAACAATAGTCGTATTAAAAAATGAAATAAGTAATCAAGCTAAATCCTTATCTAAATTAGAATCAGCCAAAAAAGAAGCAAATGAATCGGGTATACAAACCATCGCAGACGATAGTATAAAAAAGGTAAACATTTCACAAAAGGAGACACAGACGGAAATGGGCTTCCAAAATATTGATGAATCAACATTGGGTACTGATAAATGTACAAGTACACTTGAAACAGTGAAGGACACCAACGCAAAACCTGCTAATAATAACAAATCTACGGCAAAGAATAAGAAAAAGCAAAATAGTAACTCCTCTTTAATGAAAGTACAATTAGATACTAAATGCCCAAAGGCTAAAACACACTTGCCCGAAAAGTGCATACAGTCATCAAAGACAGGGAATAATATTGATAAATCAACTCAGAATAAAGCAATCAAAAAAATGCAGAGGAAAGTCCGTGCTACCGATAGGCTACATAACCAACCTCAAAAGCGACCTACAGTCAGGGATAATGAACCAAAACAATTAAAAACAATAGTAAACGGCTTCTGGGTTGAGAAAGTAGAAGGAAATCACGATCTTAATTACCAAGAAAAGGAAAATGAGCAGACACGTGTAGCAAAACAAAAACAAGATAGAAGCTTAAGAGATGAATTGGAAGAAGCTACGAAAAATCAAGGTACATTTATGTTCATAGACAATGCAAGCTCAGCGAATGGAACCACAGAAAGTTGGAAAGGAGACTCAAACAATCCTGAAGTAAATACAACAAAGAAAACGAAATCAACGATAGAGAAGCTGAACTAGGTGAGAACAAGATACTAGTTATAGGTGATCAGTATGCTGAAAGTTTCCCCAAAGTACTAATGTGTCTCGAAGGTGTCCAGGATAGTTATATCGTAAATCAAATAATCAAACCAAATACCGAACTAGCCGAGCTAAAAAAAGATATCTTTCACCAAACGCTTTTATATGGGTCTAAGGATTATGTATTTGTCATGTTTAATACTAAGAACATTAGCAACAGAAAAACCTTGAACTTATCACTCAAAAATATTATTGGCCTGAGCAAATACACCAATTTGATAAATTTTTCCCCTCACCATCATTATCACTCCTAGAAGCGCATTTCGAAAACCAAGTAATCTTCGTAACTATAGGGATACTGAAATAACAGTGATCGTTATCAAATTTCGTATCTAGGAGTGAAAATACTTCTGTGGTAGAGAAACAAATAATACTTGTTGTAATTGATTGATAACAAAGGCGTCAAGTCTCCTAATTTCGGTAATGATTTTTGCTTGTTCTGTACAAGCATTCGATTCAGAAGTGACTTTCTGATGAGCTGAGAACTTTAAATTCTAAACGAAGTTAAGATGACAATGCAATATCATTGTACAATATGTTGAATTGATAATGATAATAGTGTTTGTTTGTTTGCTACAAATTTTGCAATTTCAAATAACTTAGAACGTAAATCCTCAGAACTGTATGACAACTCAATTTTATTGTATATGCTAATAATTTGATGAAAATAATATTTTTGACATATAAGCAAATCTACGGGTACAACTCTACTCATTTTGTAGCTAATTCGATTTTTCAACTACTCTAGATTCTTGAGTCTATCTAAATGATTATTGATTTCAAATGACCCCATAAAAATCAACAGATGAAATATCTAAGAAACTTGAAACCCAGTGTTACCTTTGTCCATCAGTCCACCTGCCAGGAAATTTGTATGAAAATTTGTAAATGCACGTGAAAAGCGTGTTCACTTTTTGTGGGTGCGACTTTTTTAAATTGAAAAATCTGTTTAATGATTCACCTGCTTACTATATTGAAAACCAATCATATTGGAAATATGATTGGTTTTCAATTGAAATGTGAAGCATATAAATCTGGTATTCCATTATTCGCAGATTATAAATTCCGTTATTTTTTTTTCTGTTTCAAGGAACACATAAAAAACATGATGGGGATATTATGCATGCAGACGGAAGTTTTTGATCCCATATCAAATTGGGTAATCGAAGTAGATGCGGAAATTTTGAAAAATGACGGATATCACAATAAGGAGCAGTCATTGAATGATGTACATACACTTCGTTCGAAGTATTGTATCAGTTGAAGAAACTGAAAACTCGGTAAAATCGGAAACGGGATTTTTGAAAAAGCTAAACGAGAACAAAAGTTCACATGTTGAAAGTGATCTTCAGAATAAACTTTCCTCAGATGTCAGAAAGGAGGATGAATTTACACAAATGAAAATAACTAAACATCATGCAAAAATAAACAACAACCCTGGAAAAATTAATATTATTTCGCAATGGATATTGAATTCAAGTGAACCTACATTTGTTAACCCTCCCCATACATCTGATGAAAATAAATATCAAGAGATGTGTATTGCGGAACAGAATTATGTGAATAATTTTGAGTTTGACACTCCAAAATTTGATATGTCAATAACTGAGGTTGCCTTTTCAGAAGCAAAACAATATTCACATCTAGAAGATGAGTCTTTGATAAAAACTATTGAAACCTCTGAAAGAAGTGACAATGAAGTTCAAATGATTCGCGACAATTCTAAAAATAGTAGTGGGGAGGTTTGTATCTTTAATTTATTTTTTCACAAACCAAAAATGGCCATGAAATTACTTATACACAAAATAATCTTATTGGACATGAGCAAAGGTTGATTTTTGTTAACGATATTCGTATTTATTAAGAAAAAAACAAATTCAAAGATTGAAGTGGTCATAACTCATATTGTTGAACACATACTTGGAATAAGTACAAATAAAATGGAATATTATTTTAATGAAAATATTATTATTTTTGATAAATAAATCATCGATTTTCAGATAATTTTAACCGAGGTACCGTCAAAAGAAGCTGTAGAAAAAATTCCTCTTACAGATGATTTTTCGATAATAATAGAAGACATTCCCTTTGTCACTGAAAACTATGAAAGGGGTATTGCGCTGTTCAGTGAGGATGTTTCACGAAATTGTTCTTATTCATATCATAATGATTCTGGGAATTCAAGTGAGGTAGGTATTTTTTGTATTAATTTATCAAATATTATGGTTGAACTACAAGGCGCCAATGAAGGATAATACAATACAATAGAGTCCGAGATTTTATTGGTAAGATCTTTTTCTATTCAGAATACCCAGAATACCCAGGATGTCATGTATTGTATCTATTGTCTTATTAATGATGAGTCAGTCGAATATAGTGACTGAAATAAATGAATCAAAATTATTTGTAACAAACTACATGTTGAAAATTCAATGTTTTCAGGTTAATACAACTGATATTACTAGTTATTCATACAAGGATTTGAGTTCTGATCAAATACCGGAATCTGAAAGAATACTCCAGTGTTCCAAGGTTAGTGTTTTCTTAAAATTTTAAATTTAATATAATATCGAAATAATCAAACACTTTCCAGGGTTCAATTAGTACTTCTGTAGGAACAAATGGAACTGTGGACTCATCACAGTTGACACAAAAGGAGGTGAAAATTGTTATTTCAAAAAGAGTTCATGATGCACTTTCATTATGTTTTTTTTTTGTAGGAGACTGTTGAAAAAACCAAAAAAGGACATTATAAAGATAAACGAACATTCTGCTTCTATTGCGAAAAAGATGTTTACCATTTTCCGAGGCATCTATCTACATGGCATGAAAATGAAATAGAAGTACAGCGTATCTTTTCATATGAAAGTAGGTCGAAAGAAAGAAGAGGCGCACT